TATTTCAGTAATGCAACTTAAAAGGTGAAACTAATCTATGAGATAGACTCATTACATGCAAAACAAGATAGTTCAAGCCGTGATTTGTCATAATTGTGATGATTATGGCTTACAGCTCATGAAAACCCCAAATCCACAATCTCAGAAAATGAGAATATTGTGAAAAGGTGCAATATTCTAGGCTCAAAGTGTCCCACTCTAATCAGCTAATTAAGCCATGACACCTGCAAAGGGTTCCTGAGCCTTTAAATGGTCTCTCAGTCTGGTTCAGTAGGAATCACAATCATGGGAAAGACTGCTGACCTGACAGTTGTGCAGAAAACCATCTTTGACACCCTCCATAAGGAAGGAAAGCCTCAAAAGGTAATTGCAAAAGAAGTTGGATGTTCCCAAAGTGCTGTATCAAAGCACATTAATAGAAAGTTATGTGGAAGGGAAAAATGTGGAAGAAAAAAGGTGCACAAGCAGCAGGGATGATCGCAGCCTGGAGAGGATTGTCAGGAAAAGGCCATTCAAAAGTGTTGGGGACTTTCACAAGGAGTGGATTGAGGCTGGCAGTCAGTGCATCAAGAGCCACCACACACAGACGGATGCTGGACATGGGCTTCAAATGTCGTATTCCTCTTGTCAAGCCGCTCCTGAACAACAAACAATGTCAGAAGCGTCTTACCTGGGCTAAAGAAAAACACACCTGATCTGTTACTCAGTGGTCCAAAGTCCAAAGACTCATTTGGAAACCAAGGACCCAGAGTATGGAGGAAGGATGGAGAGGCACACACTGCAAGATGCTTGAAGTCCAGTGTGAAGTTTCCACAGTCTGTGTTGATTTGGGGAGCCATGTGATCTGCTGGTGTTGGTCCACTGTGCTTCATTAAGTCCAGGGTCAACGCAGCCGTCTACCAGGAGATTTTGGAGCACTTCATGCTTCCTTCTGCAGACGAGCTTTATGGGGAAGCTGACTTCATTTTCCAGCAGGACTTGGCACCTGCCCACACTGCCAAAAGCACCAAAACCTGGTTCAATGACCGTGGGATTACTGTGCTTGATTGGCCAGCAACTCGCCTGACCTGAACCCCATAGAGAATCTATGAGGCATTGCCAAGAGAAACATGAGAGACATGAGACTGAACAATGCAAAAGAGATGAAGGCCGCTATTGAAGCATCCTGGTCTTCCATAACACCTCAGCAGTGCCACAGGCTGATAGCTTCCATGCCACGCCGCATTGAGGCAGTAATTGCTGCAAAAGGGGCCCAAGTCAAGTACTGAGTACATATGCATGCTTATACTTTTCAGAGGTCCGATATTGTTCTATGTACAATCCTTGTTTTATTGATTGCATGTAATATTCTAATTTTCTGAGATTGTGGATTTGGGGTTTTCATGAGCTGTAAGCCATAATCATCACAATTATGACAAATCACGGCTTGAACTATCTTGCTTTGCATGTAATGAGTCTATCTCATATATTAGTTTCACCTTTTAAGTTGCATTACTGAAATAAATGAACTTTTGCACGATATTCAAATTTTTCAAGTTTCACCTGTATTTAGCCAGGGTGGACTCTTTCCACACCAGCACCTTTCTAGTTTGAGTCACCAGAGCTAATTGGAACGCTGACCTGGCACTTAAAGTTCCTTGCTTTATGGTCATAGTATTTTGTTGTTTTGTTTTTATTTCAATGTTCAAAACAGCAAAAGGATTGCTTTAGGGCTCATGCACATCAATAGTTGAGTCATTTTCAACTGAGATTGACAGAAATGCATGCCAGTTTGCATTGCACTGCAGTTTGTCTTGAAAGTCAGTGTGCCATATAATGCAGATTACATCATGATGCATTACCATGCATGTGTTGATATGCCTTTTTGATGCATTTCCATTTATATAAATGCCCAGGTGTAAAGAGGCCCCTAAAGTGTTACTAAACCCCGGACCCCGCATTCACTAGATCCGTTCTCCCACAGTACACACAACATGGAAATGCAAATATTTTAGTAAATATAAACTGCTAAATACCTTTTCTCATCAGCAATTAGAGCAGTCTTGTGACTTCGATCTGTGTTCAGCAGAGCACTGGTTAAAGCTGGTAGGAGGAGTTTTTGTTCTGCTCTAAGAGGATGCAGAACCCCTGATCTATGTTTGGACAGTGCTGATTGGCCCTGTGATGATCACATGCACTCTCCCAAGAAAAAAAAATACACTCTAAGCAATACACACCAACCTGAGCATGTGCAGTGTCTCCACACAATATGTCTTATAATGAGATAAGAGGGGGACACTGGAAGAAGGGGAGGATCAGAGAAGTCAAGATCAAACAGAACTTTTACACATTGCAGAGGATTAACCCCTTAGGTTCCTCAGTTCTATAACAATCATGCTTTACTGTATATACAGACTGATTTTATTGTTGTAGGTTTAGTAACACTTTAGCCGCTTTCCCACTGCCCTATAGCAGATACACTACTACAGGACGGCAGGCGTGCGCAAAATCACCTACATACAGTGAAGGAAATAAGTATTTGATCCCCTTCTGATTTTGAATGTTTGCCCACTCACAAAGAAATGATCAGCCTATAAATCGAATGGTAGGTGTATTGCAACACAGAGACAGAATAGCAACAAAAAATTCAAAGAAATGCATGTCTAACAAATTATGCACTGATTTGCATGTTCATGAGGGAAATAAGTATTTGATCCCCTTCACAAAACATGACTTAGTACTTGGTGGCAAATCCCTTGTTGGCAATCACAGAGAGTGGCCTGACGTAAGCAGCTGGGCTCCTCACTAACGTGTTTTGTGCTCATGCATGCTTTCAAAGGCTCCCATTCAAAGGCAGCCATCTTTACTATTGCTTTGAGCCAGATGTGAGTGCATTTGTATTACCTATATCACAATCCTTGAATAAAACACTGCACTATCAAAGATTCCCTCTCTGGCTCGTTATTTAATGAGCCCCTAAGGTGGAGTCCAACAACACACCCACTATATGCCCAGTATTGGTCTTTAATATAGGACTTGATGCCCCTGGAACCTATGAGGGAGGTCAGCCGATCTCCTGACGTGTGCCAGATGATTCATAATACCCCCATCCGTATCCAGATGACCATGATGGGATTTATATACACAAATGAGCTTTTATATTGTGCTTCTGGTTAGTGCAATATTTTACAAAAGCTTCCAGCCACTGAGTCACGGATTTCACCAATATATATTTATTATCTTTTGCATTTTGGACTTTATTATGTTATATATGGATCCCTGAAGATCGCAAAGCTTTACTGACGGGAGATGGTTGTGCTAAAAACATGACTCAGTTGAACATTTCTCCAACACCCAACCACACTTTGAGCTGGTTAATCACCGTGTATAATTAGAAACGTAGGGCTTACCACATCTCTGCCCACAACTCAGCCCTTAGCTACAACACTAATCAAGTATCAAAATACCAACCTAATCATTCTCTTCATACCTCCTATTCTCTTGCTTGTCACCTCCTCCCATGCTCACAATCAGGACTTCTCCCAACCTACGGAACTCCCTATCTCAATCTACACTATATTGCCAAAAGTATTGGGACACCTGCCTTTCCACGCACATGAAATTTAATGGCATCCCAGTCTTAGTCCGTAGGGTTCAATATTGAGTTGGCCCACCCTTTGCAGCTATAACTGCTTCAACTCTTCTGGGAAGGCTGTCCACAAGGTTTAGGATTGTGTCTATGGGAATGTTTGACCATTCTTCCAGAAGAGCATTTGTGAGGTCAGGCATTGATGTCAGACGAGAAGGTCTGGCTTGCAGTCTCTGAGATCTAATTCAGCCCAAAGGTGTTATATCGGGTTGAGGTCAGGACTCTGTACAGGTCAGTCAGGTTCCTCCACCCCAAACTCGCTTATCCATGTCTTTATGGACCTTGCTTTGTACACTGGTGCAATCATTTTGGAACAGGAAGGGGCCATCCCCAAACTGTTCCCACAAAGTTGGGAGCATTAAATTGTCCAAAATGTCTTGGTATGCTGATGCCTTAAGAGTTCCCATCATTGGAATTAGGGGCCAAGCCCAACCTCTGAAAAACAACCCCACACCATAATCCCCCCACCACCAAACTTTACATTTGGCACAATGTAGTCAGGCAAGTACTGTTCTCCAAACCCAGACACGTCCATTGGATTGCCAGACAGAGATGATTCGTCATTCCAGAGAACACATCTCCTCTGCTGTTGAGTCTAGTGGCGGCGTGCTTTACACCACTGCATCCGACGCTTTGCATTGCACTTGGGGATGTAAGGCTTGGATGCAACTGCTTACCCATGCCCCCACCTAACAACTGTACTTTGTGTTTTCTCCATCAGCTCATCCCTCAGTTATCACCCCATGGATCACTTGACCTTCCCTTAGATTGTAAGCTCTAAAGACCAGGGCCCTCTGATTCCTCCTGCACTGAATTGTATTGTCTGCCCTCATGTTGTAAAGTGCTGAGCAATCTACTGGTGATATATAAATCCTGTAAAACAATACTAATTGCAGATTAGTATTGCAGGGTTCTGCCTTTGCTCATTGCTTGGTTGATCCAAGTCTATTACACAACCGAGACCAAGACACAGTGAGGCAAAAGGTATTTTCTAAATGAGGTCTGCAATGGCAGCTTAGTTGTCGTCTAACAATGGCGGTAACAAAGGACTAAGCTGGCCTTCCCTTAGGACAAGCAAGGTTTTATGAATGGCCATGGGCAGACAAAGGGCGGGAGCCTCTTCTCGCGATGAAATCTCTCCATTCTACATCACAAATTGGTGGAGGAGGGCGAGTAGCGCGAACCAACCTAACCTCACAGCCAACCCTTTCCTGAGAGGATATTGAAGGAGTCTCCGCCCAATCCATTCTCCGTACTTCTGCTATTGGACGCTTCTCTGTCTATCAAATTACCGACCTGCAATGGCGCTCTGACATTGGGTAGCCGTGCCGGTGACGTAGAGGAACGCTGGCTAGTCGCGTTTTAGTGGATCCGGAGCCCAGGAAGGAACATGGCGTACACGCAAGGAACAAAGAAGAAAGTGTGCTATTACTATGATGGTGAGAGGGAGCTGTGTGGTAGGCGGGGTGTGGAGGTCAGGGGTGTCCGTTTATAGGTTCACAGGGTACATGGACATGTGGGGGGAGCGGTAGACGGATTCCGGGGTGACCAATGGGCGGCTGTGCCCGTACTGAGCCCTATTTCAGTCTCGTTCTCCTCCATATAATACTCCCCAGGTATTACTGACTGGAGGCCGTGCCTTTCAGGGCAGTATGGGGTCATGGTACACATGGGGGATTTGCTGCTCTGTAGAATTTCCTCTGGGTGTATTATGGGGGCAATGCAGTGTATTTGTATCTATTATTCCAAGTATGACACCATAGGCCTTTTCAATAAAGTACAGTACCCATAATACCCAATTCATGTGCTGCCCCGACTTCACTGTGGATCTGATTGGCTGCTGTGTGGTAGCGCTCTTTGCAGATTGCACTTTACTGTGTAATAAGTCACAATTGTTTATTCATTTGAGTTCGGTAAATTGGAATTAGTCACGGAAGTTGGAATGTGAAGTGTGTGTATGAGATACGCTATATTGCCAAAAGTATTGGGCCAGCCCTCCAAATCATTTGGTCTTAGGTGTTCCAATCACCTTTGTGGCTGGAGGTGTATAAAATCAAGCACCTAGACATGCAGACCGCTTCTACAAACATTTGTGAAAGAACGGGTCGCTCTCAGGAGCTCAGTGAATTCAAGCGTGGTACCGTGATAGGTTGCCACCTGTGCAATAAGTCCATCCGTGAAATTTCCTTGCTACTAAATATTCCACGGCCAACTGTTAGTATTATAACAAAGTGGAAGCAACTGGGAACTACAGCAACTCAGCCATGAAGTGGTAGGCCATGTAAAATGACAGAGAGGGGTCAGTGTGTGCTGAAGCACACAGTGCGCAGAAGTCATAAACGCTGCAGAGTCAATAGCTAAAGAACTCTAAATTTCGTGTGGCCTTCAGATTCGCACAACAGTGCGTAGAGAGCTTCGTGGAATGGGTTTCCATGGCCGAGCAGCTGCATCCAAGCCTACATCACGAAGTGCAATGCGTTAGCTGCAGTGGTGTAAAGCACGCCGCCACTGGACTCTAGAGCAGTAGAGATGTGTTCTCTGGAGTGACAAATCATGTTTCTCTGTCTGGCAATCCGACAGGTTTGGCGGTTGCCAGGAGAACGGTACTTGCCTGACTGCACTGTGCCAAGTGTAAAGTTTGGTGGAGGGGGGATTATGGTGTGGGGTTGCTTTTCAGGGGTTGGGCTTGGCCCCTTAGTTCAGTGATGGGAACTCTTAAGGCGTCAGCATACCAAGACATTTTGGACAATTTTCGTGCTCCCAACTTTGTGGGAACAGTTTGGGGATGGCCCCTTGTTCCAACATGACTGCACAAAGCAAGGTCCATAAAGAGATAGATGAGTGAATTTGGGGTGGAGGAACTTGACTGACCTGCACAGAATCCTGACCTCAACCCGACAGAACACTTGTGGGATGAATTAGAGCGGAGACTGCGAGCCAGGCTTTCTCGTCTGACATCAGTGCCTCACCTCACAAATGCATTTCTGGAAGAATGGTCAGACATTCCCATAGACGCACTCCTAAACCTTGTGGATAGACTTCCTATAGGAGTTGCAAAGGGTGGGCCAACTCAATATTGAACCCTATGGACTAAGACTGGGATGCCATTAAAGTTCATGTGCGTGTAAAGGCAGGCGTCCCAATACTTTTTGCAATATACAGGTGAAACTTGAAAAATTAGAATATTGTGCAAAAGTTCATTTATTTCAGTAATTCAACTTAAAAGATTAAACTAATATGTGAGACTCATTACATGCAAAGCAATATAGTTCAAGCCGTGATTTGTCATAATTGTGATGATTATGGCTTACAGCTCATGAAAACCCCAAATCCACAATCTCAGAAAATTAGAATATTACATGCAATCAATAAAACAAGGATTGTACATAGAACAATATCGGACCTCTGAAAAGTATAAGCATGCTTATGTACTCAGTACTTGGTTTGGGCCCCTTTTGCAGCAATTACTGCCTCAATGCGGCGTGGCATGGAAGCTATCAGCCTGTGGCACTGCTGAGGTGTTATGGAAGACCAGGATGCTTCAATAACGGCCTTCAGCTCTTCTTCATTGTTCAGTCTCATGTCTCATCTTTCTCTTGGCAATGCCCCATAGATTCTCTATGGGGTTCAGGTCAGGTGCGTTTGCTGGCCAATCAAGCACAGTAATCCCACGGTCATTGAACCAGGTTTTGGTGCTTTTGGCAGTGTGGGCAGGTGCCAAGTCCTGCTGGAAAATGAAGTCAGCATCCCCATAAAGCTCATTTGTGGAAGGAAGCATGAAGTGCTCCAAAATCTCCTGGTAGACGGCTGTGTTGACCCTGGACTTAATGAAGCACAGTGGACAAACACCAGCAGATCACATGGCTCCCCAAATCAACACAGACTGTGGAAACGTCACACTGGACTTCAAGCATCTTGCAGTGTGTGCCTCTCCATTCTTCCTCCATACTCTGGGTCCCTAATTTCCAAATGAGATGCAAAAGTTGCTGTCATCAGAAAAGAGGACTTTGGACCACTGAGCAACAGACCAGGTCTGTTTTTCTTTAGCCCAGGTAAGACGCTTCTGACGTTGTTTGTTGTTCAGGAGCGGCTTGACAAGAGGAATACGACATTTGAAGCCCATGTCCAGGATCCGTCTGTGTGTGGTGGCTCTTGATGCACTGACTCCAGCCTCAGTCCACTCCTTGTGAAAGTCCCCAACACCTTTGAATGGCCTTTTCCTGACAATCCTCTCCAGGCTGCGGTCATCCCTGCTGCTTGTGCACCTTTTTCTTCCACACTTTTCCCTTCCACATAACTTTCTATTAATGTGCTTTGATACAGCACTTTGGGAACATCCAACTTCTTTTGCAATTACCTTTTGAGGCTTTCCCTCCTTATGGAGGGTGTACATGATGAGGTAATAGGCCAATCACAGCGTTCTTTTACCACATGATCAGCTGTGTCCAATGACACAGCAGATCAGAGTAAAGACAGTTGCCGGTTATCGGCAGCACTTTCCTTACGCTGTCAGTGTGAGGAAAGTACTGTCGATAACCGGCAGCTGTCACAGAGCACATCAGCACTGATGATCAGTGCCCTGCAGTGCCTCCCACCAGTGCCCAAAAGTTGCACCCATCAGTGCTGCCCAGCAGTTGCGCCTGTCAATGCCGGCTGTCAGTCAGTGCCGCCCATCAGTGACCATCATTGCTACATATCAGTGCAGCCTATCAATGCCTTTTTTCATAATTGATATGCAGCTGTCATGTGACCCAACTCTTTCCCAGTCCATTTGCATGGGAACCTCTGAGGGAGGAGCTTCTAGTCCTCTGCAGCTGGTTACTTGTTCAAAATAAAAAACAGCCTTCCAAATACATAGGAAAATACAGAGTTAATATCAAATGTTTTAGATCGTCCTACAAATAAGTATTTTAACTCCATCTTATTTTTTGCGAAAACATGTACTATCTATGGGGAGATTCTACCAATCGCAGCCCGTTTCATGCCCCTCTAGCCTGTGTCTATTGTTTGTATATGCTTAGAATTACATGGAGGTGAAACCTCCATCAATCAACATGTATATTCCCCCTGGGCATGGAGGAGGGAGTGAGGAAATGGGCTGGCTTTTATCCCTGTGACTAGAAAAAGGTTATAACCTGTTCTGTAATTCCATTGGGTATTTTCTTTTTTTTTCCTATCCCTTTCCACCAGGTCAAGATATAAGGGAAATTTGTATATAGTGGGACAGAAATAAAGTTTTCACAGAGGGTCTTGGATTTACCCATTTTAGTAGAATAAAATGTTTGTGTTTTGTTTTGTATTTTTGCTTGAAGGTCCTGGAGCTGTCCATTTCTTATGTACTAATGTTGCAATTTTCATCCCTCAAAGTGCTATTTTCCCAGTTAGCTTCTGAGACAGCCAGTGGAGAAATTTTATATTCTACCTTGCTTATAGTGAACTGGCTGGTCTGTTTATTTTGACTTTTTTCCTTTGGCTGTAGAGGCAATACACAGTCTACTTTTGAATGTCCAGTGACCTTGGTGCTTCACTTATCAGGCAAATTTTTCCTTTGGTAGTGATTTTGGTTGCTGAGCCCAGTAACAAATACTAGTTTCAATGATGCCCTTGTGCTTTACAACCAATGATGCATCTCAGCCATACACCTTGGGTGGACCTGACAATTGGCGAGAAAATCTTCATTGTTGTGATAGAACTTGTATCACCAAATGCTTGCACCTTTGACGCATTCTCCAAAGCATTGCATTTGTGGGCACTCTAGTATGCAGATTTGAACTAAATTTATTGGTTGATGGCTTGACCCTGCCTGGTCCTTCCGATATTTTTTTATTTTTTTTTTTCTTTATCCGCTTTAGTCAGCTCTGGTTGTTGTTTGTTCTCTTTTGTGTTCTTTTTGAAATGAGCAAGGGATGCTTTCTGTTAACAGTTTGTGCATACTGCAGTGAATACAAATACCTGCAAGTCGCCTTGAAGAAGGGTAAATGGTAGTATGCTCTTCAAGGGAATCTGCTCCAGTAGGTTGTGATAAATTCATTTACAAGAGGTCTTGGGCTTCTATTTTTACATTTGTTTGCTGAATAAAAACATGAGAATACTTTCACATTTTGCCTTTTGTTTTATCCCTTTAAATACATTGCAAGTCACTCTTGTCTTGCTAGAAAACTGATGTGCTTCAAACTTCCTGCTTGGGCTGCCACTGCAATGCCTTTTCTGCACTAAAGTCAACTATTGTCCCCCCTGCCTTCTGAAATGTAGAACTCTACTTATCCCCCAACTCTTATATTTAACCACCTTCCGCCCGCCATATAGTGCAATGACGGGCGCAAGGTGGTTCTCTTGTTCTGATAGGATGTCATATGACGTCCTTCCATTCTCACTGCTCATGCGCGGCGATCGCCGGTGCGCTGTGTCCCTCGGACACAGCGGATCACGGAAAGAGTCAAAGATGTCGGCTCAGTCATGTGATCAGCTGTGACCAATCACAGCTGATCACATGTAAACACGGAAATGCTGGTTATCGGCATTTCTCTCCTCGAGCTGTCACACTGACCGCTCGAGAGGAGAGCCGGTAATCTGCTTTCCGCGGACGGGACATGTACACTGATCATCAGGGCACTGATGATCAGTGTGCCCTGATGATCAGTGTGGCCCCAGTGTGTGCCCCACCTGTCAGTGTCCATCAGTGCCACATATCAGTGCCCATCTGAGCTGCCTTTCAATGTCACTCATCAGTGCCACCTATCAGTGCTGTCAGTCAGTGCTGCCTAACAGTGCCATATATCAGTGTCATGTATCAGTGCTGCCTTTCAGTGTCCATCACTGCAGCCTCATTAGTGCACATCAGTGAAGGAGAAAAATCACTTATTTACAAAATTGTGTAACAAAAACTAAGAAAAAACGTTTTGTTTTTTTTAATTTTCAGTGGTTTTTGGTTGTTTAAGAAAAAATAAAAATCCCAGAGGTAATTAAATACCACCAAAATAAAGCTCTATCTGTCTCAAAAAAATGATAAAAATTTTATATGGGTACAGTGTTGCATGACCGCGTAATTGTCATTCAAAGTGTGACAGCGCTGAGAGCTGGAAATTGGCCTGGGCAGGAAGGGGGTATAAGTGCCCTGTAGGCTAGTGGTTAAAGGGATTCTAAAGCTTCGGTATTTTGTTATTTTATTAAAAAAAAAAAAAAAAAAGTTTTGCACACAGCTACCCCGATCCTCTCCTTTTTGTGTCCCCCACTGGCACTCTGGCTCCTTCCCTCGAGCAGTGCCCCCAGGGAAAGCTACTTGCCCTGGGAGCACCGCTATGTGCTAGCTCCCAAGCCGCTGCTCTATGGGTTCATAAGACACATAGAGATAATGAGGGAGAACCTCCATACAGCCAAGGCTATTGTGAACATTGCTGGATCAGAGGGGGTTCAGGTAAGTATTGTGGGGGTGCTGGGGGGGCACACAGAAGGGTTTTTGTTTTTTTTACTTCATGCATATAATTCATGAAGGTAAAAAACCTTGGGCCTTTAGAACCACTTTAACTCCACATGCATAGTGATTTATTTTCCCAGCAAAACAATGCTGCTGCCTTGATTCCCTTGAAGTGTGTGTGTGGGCTCATGTTAGTCGGCAGGGTTTTTTGTGGGGTGCCCTTGGGTGATTACTTGTTAGAATTGCTAAAAATGTCTGCTTGAGGATCAGTGGGAGCACCTAAAGTTATGTCACAAGTCATACATTTGTAGCTATGGAGATACAAGATCTAAACCTGTGGCCCATGACCATGGAATTGCTTAGATGGCCAGAGGAAAATCTCATTTATCTGAAAGGCTCTCTTGATATCCTTGCAGACATCCTCTACAGATCTAGTTGGATGCAGTTATTTACACATTTCCTTCTTGCTGTTTTCTTACATTAAGGTGCTTCAGGCTCATATGATGAAGAATCCAATAATTCCTCTTAATAAACCTGAAGGAATAGTTTTACCTTTATGTTCTAATCTAGTCTTTGAGAAAGAGAGTTTTTCTTCTTCGTCTGGATTTAAATCATTAACATTTAACCATAGCTTCTTTTTTAAAGAACCCTGTAAATCAAGCATGTTTTAAAAGGTTTAGGGCAGGCTTCCTCCTTGCTGTAAGACACAAAGCTGCTCTTTTTCGCGTGTCATGCTGTCGTGGCCTCTTTAAACAAATAAGTGGGGGGGGGGGGGGCATATTTCTGTACCTGAGGTCATTTAAAGTGCTTGTAAGCCTCTAACATGACAGATGAACAAGGCATATCCCTCTGTAGTGTGTACCTGCCTCAATCCAAAGCACCAAGTGTAACTTCTTTCTGATCTTTCTTCAGTCTATCTGCAGGACTCACTCCTGTTAGGTTAAGAATCCTAGGAAGTGCCCCTTCTCCCTCCAGCACACAGCAGGTGACTGACAGCCTCAGATGTGTGTTTCTCTGTGTACAGGAGGGTACATCTCTAGGATTACTTATAGTCTGTGCTGTGCAGTGTGTGATGTCATATCCCCACCTCCTGCCTTCTGCTGCTGCTGAGAAGTCCTTTGATCTGTATACTTTGAACAAATGTAGAAAATTGAGGGCTGTAGATGAAGAGGTACAACTTCTATAGGAGGCTTTGTTTTATCTCTATCACCTGAGGCTAGTCACTTCACTGGGTATATGTAACAGTTTACAACTGCTTTTAAAGTAAACTTTTCAGTAACTTTAAAAGTCTCCATGAATTTATTTCTGACATGCCACTTATGAAACAACCATATAATTGTTTATCATAAAAATAGCAGTTCTTTGAGGTAAGTGACTTTGCTTTTCTGAGCAGTCAAGAACTGCATAGGCACCAGGAGTTGCATTGAGTGTGTCATCTGAGTCAGCATATCAGTGCAGGAATTTAATGATGACCGTGGATGATACATAAACAATGATGGTGCAGTCTATCTGGAGATGGAGGCATTTGTTGGGGGTGGGGGGGGGGGATACTATGATCAGTGAAAAGTTTGTTATTGTAACGCTTCATTTAAAAAAAAAAAAAAAAAAATTATTCTTATCTGCCCAGTGCAATGGTATTGCCTTCTGGGGTCCATCACAGGTGTTGTCTACTCTTCTCCATCTTGCTTTGAGGGCACTTGTGCAGGCACGCTCCTGAGCTGAGCTGTGTGCATTCTTAAACACACAGGGAGCTTGACCCCGCCCCTCATCCCCACAGGTTTTGACTGACAGCACCAGGAGCCAATAGCTGCAGCTGCTGTCAGTAAACCAATGAATGTAGGAAGAGGAGAGTGGGCCTGCCAGTGGGGACAGTGCTGGAATGAGAGTCGTGTCAGGCAGTTGGGAAGGGGGTCGGGGGGCGCAGACACCTTTTTACCTTTAGAACTATTTTAATGAATACCTGTAAGAATTACACTGACACTTTACTATGCATGCAAAAAAAAAAAAAAAAAGCAAATGTTAGGTCCTTGTTAAAGCTGAACATTGGGCTGAATACAGAGTCGTGTGCTTTTTCCGAATCTTGGTGTCATTTTATTTAATCCATATCTGTGCAGTTTTACAGCATAAAGCAACTCCTGCACCTTACCTCTGAATCTGCACCGGACATATGTGACCAGGCACCACAGGAAGCAATGTTGTTTCACATGTGATGCTGATTGAATGCTGTTCAAACCACATCCAATCCGCATATGAGTTTTTGTCCCCAGAATTCAGGTATTTTCACAATGGTGTTATGACTATTCCAATGACCTGTTTTGTCTGTGTTTTTTTTTTTTTTTTTTCTTTTTTTTTTAGGCGATGTTGGTAATTATTATTATGGGCAGGGGCATCCAATGAAGCCTCACAGGATCCGGATGACCCACAATCTGCTTCTTAATTATGGATTGTACAGGAAGATGGAAATCTATGTGAGTGCTAATTCAACTGGTTTATTTTTGTTATCTATGGTTACGTAGACATTTTCTAGCCTTACATGCAATAGGCCCTTCTTGTAATATACTTGTATGTGAAAAATATTTTGTCAAAAAGATTACCTAGGAAATAGATTTTTTTTCTCTGAACAATTGTGTGCCAACTTTTCAGAGTTCTTGTGCCATCTACTGGCAGCATGATTCAGTACAAGATAAGTATAAATGTTTTCCAAGTAAATACATCTGAATTTCTTTTAATAACATGGTAAAGGCTAATTCACCTTTTTAGGAAAAAATAAGCGCACATTTCTGCCAATTTAAATGTACAGCAGCTGTAGGGGAGGGGCTTGGGGCGAGTGGTAAGGATGCTGGCACGTTACACCCTAAATTTAGATGTAACATGTTCCTTAAGGTGAACTTCTCCTTTTAAGGTGAATTCAGTAGCCAGAACTTTTTTTTTTTTGCCCTCAATTTCTAAGGTCTGTTCCTTTCAGGAATTAGGGAATGCTAGAGGTGCATCATGCATAGCCTCCTTTTTGCTCTTAAGACACACTACCTCACCACAATGATTTGCATGTTTGTGTCAGGTCATCACCACTTCTGTAATGTCACTGGCTAGCTTTGTTTTACCCTTAAGCTGTAAACTTTATGCAATTTAAAACCTATATTTTTGTGTGCATGTTTTAGTTCCAAAATTTATATTTTAAACATTGGCTGTGTTTTGGTCAATTGAAAAAAATTAGGATTTACTTGTAGCTTAAAGTGTTACTAAACCCACAACAGTAAAATCAGTCTGTATATGCAGTAAAGCATGCTTGTTATACTCACTGTGGAACTTAAGGGGTTAATCCTCTGCATTGTGTAAAAAGGCTGTTTGATCCTATCTTCTCTGATCCTCCTGTTCTTCCCCATTCCACCTGCTGTTAGAACAGAGCCTTGGGGGCAAGCTGCACATACTTAGTTTGGTGTGTATTGCTAGAGAGTTGTGTTTTTTTTTTTTTGGGTGTTTTTTGTGTTTGTTTTTTTTTCTTTTTCTTTGGGAGGGTGCATGTGATCAGCGCAGGGCCAATCAGCACTGTCCAGACAGAGGGGCAGGGGTCCTGGCAGAGTAGAATGAAAACTCTTCCTACAAGCTTTAACCAGTGCTCTGCTGGACACTGATAGAAGTCACAAGACTGCTCTAACTGCTGATGAAATGGTATTTAGCCATTTTATTTTTACTAAAATAATTGGATTTCCATGTTCTGTGTGCTGTGGGAGACCAGATATAGTGAATGCAGGGTCCTGAGTTTAGTAACACTTTAAGTGCTATCTGTGAATGTATGTGTGTGAGTGGAGTTCAGATGTCTGTTCCATGCTTTATAATGACAGACAATTGTGCATATTATAAAGTTACTCTCACACTGATCTGCTACAAAAATGTGCCAAAAACGCATATGCGTTTTTGCCATGCTTTCAGTGCATTTTTTAAAGGACATAAAATGACTTAAAAACTGCACACTTCTTAGGTGTGTTTTTTGAGGCGCTTTTCCATTTATTTCAATGGGAAGAAGCATTTTTTGGTGCGGATTTTTTAACTGAACAAATATTGTCCAAAAAATGCACATCCGAAAGTATAAACATTGAATAAAGATTGTGATGAATAAATGACAAACAACAAAGGTCAAGTTGTATTGCTATGAGATACTATTTTATTTCCTCTTAAGAATGGTTTAATTCGTTCAAAATTATTGAAAAAAATGAAATTTCTTCCTTATGAGTAAAGTTAGTGCCTTTTTGAAATTTCTCCATAATGAGTTACAGTATTGCCACTGAATCAAGCGTTTAGTGAAATATGTTGCTAATATTATTCTTAAAGGAAATTTCTCTTCCTACCAGAGACCGCACAAAGCCAGTGCTGAAGAAATGACGAAATATCACAGTGATGATTACATAAAATTTCTGCGTTCAATCCGGCCAGACAACATGTCTGAATACAGCAAACAGATGCAAAGATGTATGTGTTCACACAATCTCTTGTTTGGTACAGTATATCCACAAGGATAGTTCAGGATCAGGTGTTATTGTACTGATATGTGACATCTACTTCCTATCCCCCTGAGGATGGTGTTTGTGAGCCATACCTTCACTATTTTAATAGCATATGTATACCACTTCTAAAATTCTGCCTTGCCAAAACATTTTCATTTGATCTTTTAGAGCAGGGGTCTCAACTTTCTAAACAAAGGGCCAGTTTACTGTCCTTCAGACTTTAGGGGGGCCAGGATGTGGCCATTGGCAGTCAAATAGGTCCCAATGTCAGTGGGGAAAAAAAATGCCCCATCTTTGGTGTCAGTGGAAAGAACAGTGCCCTATCTTTTTTGTCATTGAAAGGAATTGTGCCCCGTCAATGGAGAAATGGCTGTTGGTGTTTTAGGAGAAGTTTTTCCCCTTCATTGCTGTCAGTGGGGAGAATAATGGCCCAATGTTGGTATCCGTGGATGAAATGGTGCCCCAAGGGCCAGATAAAAGCAAGCAAAGGGCTGCATCTGTCCCTGGGGTCACAGTTTGTAGACCACTGTTTTAGAGTATAGTCTGCCAGGAGGCTTATCTGACAGAATACTTTTATTTTAGATGACACCACCACTACCGTTTTTGGCTGTTATGTACATGGTTTACCTACAAAAATGCAGTGCATTCAGGTCATACTTGTTCACACTATATTCTTTTGAGACACTATTTATTGTGGATGCTTGGATCTATGGTTCGCCAAAAATTATTGGTCAAAAATAGGGTTATCGGCATTTTGCTGATAGAAAAAAAACAAAGGTGCCAATAATGGCATGCTGTGTCCCATAGACTTAATTGTAAAAACACCCCCTAGTGACCAATACAAAATCGCATCCCATAGATTTTAATGCAGAAACACCAGTCACATTAATTACATTTAAAAAATTCTTTTTTTTTTTTTTTTTTTTTTTTCGGCCAAGTGCATTCTGAATTTTGAGTTTCGGTACTGGATTTTTAATTTTGGTGCACCACTAGTTTTTATGCAGACCACTGCACAGGTAAGTTGTGAACAGTTTATATAAACACAGTGCAGCGCTAATAATACATGATATAATAATCAAATAAAAATGATAATATAATGTGATGCGATCAAAATCAAACAGTGAAGAATAATGATAATAGTGAAAAATTATAAATATCATATAGTGAATACAAACTCAATCCCCCCCTAATCCACAATTGAGGGATCCAATAGTCTTAAATACGTTAGTGTAAAATGTGAATCCCCTGCATGGGGATATAAATAATGTATACAGTGCTAAATGTCACACACCACACTTAACACAATACAAATGAATTTATATATTAATAAACCCCCAAATTAAAATTATAGTCCAAAATATTTAAACATAAACACGTGCTCCAACTGCAATATCGTGCAAGTGATGATATGTGTAGGTGGTCACAGCAATAGTGTCAATCCTTCAGTGGCCAAAATGCCCCCTCACCTCCTTGCATTGACCACAACGGCCAGCTCACTTTTAGGACCACACTGATCCTTACAGGTATTAATTCCTCACAGGATCCCCCTCAATGGTAGTATATGCTCCTCTCCTTTCAAGGTCTCCTCCAGTTAGATATCAGCAAAACCGCTCTCCCATAAAGGATCATAGTAAGACAAAAAGATCCTCCATAGTGTAATCGTGCTTTAATTACTGTATATAATTCACATAAAAAAATGCCCACTCACATGTCATTCATCAAATGACAGCTTGCTACCGCATGCTATGGGTGTACTGCATGAGTAGTAAAAAGGTGTTTCAATATGGCGCCCACGCCGTAAATGACGTCACTGTGCGCCAAAAGTTCCTCCCCGTGTACCGACGCGTTACGTCACCCTAGTCACGTGACTTCATCAGAGTATACCTGTAAGGATCAGTGTGATCCTAAAAGTGAGCTGGCCCTTGTGGTCAATGCAAGGAGGTGAGGGGGCATTTTGGCCACTGAAGGATTGACACTATTGCTGTGACCACCTACACATATCACTTGCACGATATTGCAGTTGGAGCACGTGTTTGTTTAAATATTTTGGACTATATTATTTTAATTTGGGGGTTTATTAATATATATATTCATTTGTATTGTGTTAAGCGTGGTGTGTGACACTTAGCACTGTGTGCATTATTTATATCCCCATGCAGGGGATTCACATTTTACACTAACGTATTTAAGACTATTGGATCCCTCAATTGTGGATTAGGGGGGGATTGAGTTTGTATTCACTATATGATATTTATAATTTTTCACTATTTATCATTATTCTTCACTGTTTGATTTTGATTGTATCACATTATATTATCACTTTGATTTATTTGATTATTATATCATGTATTATTAGCGCTACACTGTGGTTTTTATATAATTTGTCATTTTCACTTATTGGGGCTAAGTTTTAGTGTTAGCAGCTTAGGGTTAGGACTCCATTTAAAGCACAGGAGGATCCATCTATTATTAAGTTGTGAACAGGATACAGAAAATAAATGATTTGTGCCCTGTTTATACCAGATTTGTGAAGATAATTGTAACTCTGTAGGTACGGGGTGAACAAACCCTGAAGCTGGCCATACATCGATCCAAGTTCAGCAGGGACCAGATAAATTTTGATCGTATGGCTGTCCCCAGTAGGAGAGATTCCTTCCTCTATCTCGTTTGTGTGTGGTCAGCTTTTCTCTGCTAAAATGCTATGTAGAGTCATTTTATAAATTCCAATGAACTATACCCTTGAATGTTCTAAGAAAAAAAAAATGCTTGCAGGTATGAAAACCACTTTTGCCATTTTTTTTCCCCCAACATCCACAAAATTGTTTAGATTAAAAAAAAAAAGACCTATAATTGCTTTGCAAAATGGTGTATTTGAAAAGAACACAAAACAGCCATAATATTTCTTTGCAGCAAGATTTTGCAGCAAGATTTCTTTGCAGCAAGATGAAATTAGTTTTGGTCTTAATGGAAAATATAGTATTATTGTTGACCTTTGTGGTTCTTTTTCAATAGAAAACTGCACGTAAAAACTAGGTTTCTTGAATATTGTGGGGCACAAGAATTCAGATGCTGTCAGGTTATATTACTGCCTACATGAGGATTGGACACTGGCAAGCAAATAAATTGTATGCCAGCCTCAGGATAACCCCTCCTCTACCCAACATGCCTCAGTTTTTGCTAGTTACTTGGGAGGATAGATGTCTCCTCTTCAGCTCTACTGAGAAGTCTTCACACGTCGTCTTATACGCCGGCATACGGCGAGCCGGTGTCAGGGCGGCACTTTTTCGAGCGGTGGCGTAAGGGACACTAAGTACAGGGGCGGGCAGGGGGCTGCTGTACCTTACCTGGCTCCGGTCCCACGACGATCCGGTCCAGGAAGCGCGGCTGCTCCTTCTTTCAGTTCGGCCGCTTGATGGTCGCGCGGCTCCGCCTCCTCACCGGTGATTAGGCGCCAGCACTGGAAAGGCACACAGGCGACCAATCACCGGCGAGGAGGCGGAGCCGAGCGGCCCCCACAAAAATCGAGTGAGGGAGCGGCCAGTAAGTGTGCAGCAGCAGCACCATGCTGTGCCACTCTTGGCACTATTCCTCTCCCCCACTGACACCAACGATGAGGCAGTGTTCCTCCCCCACTGACACCAACGATGGGGCACTATTCCTCCCCCACTGACACCAATAATGGGGCACTAGTCCTCCTCACCAATGATGGGGCACTATTCCTCCCCCACTCACACCAACGATGAGGCACTATTCTTCCCCCCACTGACACCAACAATGAGGCACTGTTCCTCCCCCACTGACACCAACGATGGGGCACTATTCCTCCCCCCACTGACACCAACAATGGGGCACTAGTCCTCCTCACCAATGATGGGGCACTATTCCTCCCCCACTCACACCAACGATGGGGCACTATTCCTCCTCCCCACTGACTCCAATGATGGGGCACTATTCCCCCCCCCCCCCCCCCCCACTGACACCAATGATGGGGCACTATTCTCCCCACTGATACCAATGATGGGGCACTATTCTCCCCACTGATACCAATGATGGGGCACTATTCTCCCCACTGATACCAATGATGGGGCACTTTCTCCCCACTGATACCAATGATGGGGCGCTATTCCTCCCACTGACCAAACACTATTCCTCCCACTGACACCAACGATGGGGCGCTATTCTCCCCACTGATACCAACTGATGGGGCGCTATTCCTCCCACTGACACCACGATGGGGCGCTATTCCTCCCACTGACACCAACGATGGGGCGCTATTCCTCCCACTGACACCAACGATGGGGCGCTATTCTCCCACTGACACCAACGATGGGGCGCTATTCCTCCCACTGACACCAACGATGGGGCGCTATTCCTCCCACTGACACCAACGATGGGGCGCTATTCCTCCCACTGACACCAACGATGGGGCGCTATTCCTCCCACTGACACCAACGATGGGGCGCTATTCCTCCCACTGACACCAACGATGGGGCGCAATTCCTCCCCACTGACACCAACGATGGGGCGCTATTCCTCCCACTGACACCAACGATGGGGCGCTATTCCTCCCACTGACACCAACGATGGGGCGCTATTCCTGCCACTGACACCAACGATGGGGCGCTATTCCTCCCACTGACACCAATGATGGGGCGCTATTCCTCCCACTGACACCAACGATGGGGCGCTATTCCTCCCACTGACACCAACGATGGGGCGCTATTCCTCCCACTGACACCAACGATGGGGCGCTATTCCTCCCACTGACACCAACGATGGGGCGCTATTCCTCCCACTGACACCAACGATGGGGCGCTATTCCTCCCACTGACACCAACGATGGGGCGCAATTCCTGCCACTGACACCAACGATGGGGCGCAATTCCTGCCACTGACACCAATGATGGGGCGCTATTTCCCACTGACACCAATGATGGGGCCTATTCCTGCCACTGACACCAATGATGGGGCGCATTTCCTGCCACTGACACCAATGATGGGGGCACTCACCAAAGATGGGGCCACTGACACCAATGATGGGGCGCAATTCCTCCCACTGACACCAATGATGGGCGCAATTCCTCCCACTGACACCAACGATGGGGCACTGCCACTGACACCAATGATGGGGCGCAATTCCTCACCACTGACACCAATGATGGGGCGCAATTGACCAATGATGGGGCGCACACTGACTGACACCAATGATGGGGCGCAATTCCTCCACACTGACACCAATGATGGGGCGCAATTCCTGCCACTGACACCAATGATGGGGCACACTGACACCAATGATGGGGCGCAATTCCTGCACACTGACACCAATGATGGGGCGCAATTCCTGCCACTGACCCCAATGATGGGGCGCAATTCCTCACACACTGACCCAATGATGGGGCGCAATTCCTCACACACTGACCCAATGATGGGGCGCAATTCCTCACACACTGACCCCAATGATGGGGCGCAATTCCTCACACACTGACCCAATGATGGGGCGCAATTCCTCACACACTGACCCCAATGATGGGGCGCAATTCCTCACACACTGACCCCAATGATGGGGCGCAATTCCTCACACACTGACCCCAATGATGGGGCGCAATTCCTGGGGCGCACACACTGACCCCAATGATGGGGCGCAATTCCTCACACACGGACCCCAATGATGGGGCGCAATTCCTCACACACTGACCCCAATGATGGGGCGCAATTCCTCACACACTGACCCCAATGATGGGGCGCAATTCCTCACACACTGACCCCAATGATGGGGCGCAATTCCTCACACACTGACCCCAATGATGGGGCGCAATTCCTCACACACTGACCCCAATGATGGGGCGCAATTCCTCACACACTGACCCCAATGATGGGGCGCAATTCCTCACACACTGACCCCAATGATGGGGCGCAATTCCTCACACACTGACCCCAATGATGGGGCGCAATTCCTCACACACTGACCCCAATGATGGGGCGCAATTCCTCACACACATGGGCGCAATTTGACCCCAATGATGGGGCGCAATTCCTCACACACTGACCCCAATGATGGGGCGCAATTCCTCACACACTGACCCCAATGATGGGGCGCAATTCCTCACACACTGACCCCAATGATGGGGCGCAATTCCTGGGACCCCAATGATGGGGCGCAATTCCTCACACACTGACCCCAATGATGGGGCGCAATTCCTCACACATTGGTGACCCCAATGATGGGGCGCAATTCCTCACACATTGGACCCCAATGATGGGGCGCAATTCCTCACACACGGACCCCAATGATGGGGCGCAATTCCTCACACACGGACCCCAATGATGGGGCGCAATTCCTCACACACGGACCCCAATGATGGGGCGCAATTCCTCACACACGGACCCCAATGATGGGGCGCAATTCCTCACACACGGACCCCAATGATGGGGCGCAATTCCCATCACACGGACCCCAATGATGGGGCGCAATTCCTCACACATTGGGACCCCATGATGGGGGAATTCCCACACGGACCCCAATGAGTGGGGCGCCCCATCACACGGACCCCAATGATGGGGCGCAATTCCTCACACACATTGGGACCCCAATGATGGGGCGCAATTCCTCATCACACGGACCCCAATGATGGGGGCAATCCTCACACACGGACCCCAATGATGGGGCGCAATTCCTCACACACGGACCCCAATGATGGGGCGCAATTCCTCACACAGGACCCCAATGATGGGGCGCAATTCCTCACACACGGACCCCAATGATGGGGCGCAATTCCTCACACATTGGACCCCAATGATGGGGCGCAATTCCTCACACACGGACCCCAATGATGGGGCGCAATTCCTCACACACGGACCCCAATGATGGGGCGCAATTCCTCACACACGGACCCCAATGATGGGGCGCAAACACACGGACCCCAATCATTGGTGTCAGTGGACCCCAATGATGGGGCGCAATTCCTCACACACGGATCATTGGGTGTCAGTGTGGGAGGAATAGCGTCCCATCATCATTCGCGTCCCATCATTGGTGTCAGTGGGAGGAATAGCGCCCCATCATTGGTGTCAGTTGAGGAATCGCGCCCATCATTGGTGTCAGTGGGGGAGGAATAGCGCCCCATCATTGGTGTCAGTGGGAGGAATAGCGCCCCATCATTGGTGTCGGTGTGGGAGGAATAGCGCCCCATCATTGGTGTCAGTGGGAGGAATAGCGCCCCATCATTGGTGTCAGTGGGAGGAATAGCGCCCCATCATTGGTGTCAGTGGGAGGAATAGCGCCCCATCATTGGTGTCAGTGGGAGGAATAGCGCCCCATCATTGGTGTCAGTGTGGAGGAATAGCGTCCCATCATTGGTGTCAGTGGGAGGAATAGCGTCCCATCATTGGTGTCAGTGGGAGGAATAGCGTCCCATCATTGGAATTCCATACTGAAATACCATACCATATTGAAATCAAATCTGATGTTTTTTCATTTTTATTTGGTGTGCGTTGGAAGAGGGGTAGTCTTATACGGTGAGTATAGCTCAAACCCTATATTTTAACAGGAAAAGTAGGGAGTCGTCTTATATGCCCAGTCATCTTATACGCTGGCAAATACGGTAATAATAATATTTGGAGTGCCGTGGCTCCGCTCGCCCCCAGATCCCTCCTTTCATAACTCAATAGGCAGCAACAAGAGCCAATGGCTCCTGCTGCTACCCCAGTATCTGTGAGAAGAGGAAGATGGGCTCAGGTATGTGTTTGGGTGGGGGAGAATAGTGGGGTGTGTTTTCTACCTTTTTAATGCAAGGAATGCATTAAGGTAAAAAAAACACCCAGCCATTAAAACTACTTAAATCACTTTGATGGGATTACTTAAACAATAGAACATTGGTTAATTGATGTTCGTGTTTGTAACAGGAGTCCTTTTTTGTCTTCACAGTTAATGTTGGAGAAGACTGTCCTGTGTTTGATGGTCTCTTTGAGTTCTGCCAGTTGTCAACAGGAGGATCTGTTGGTGAGTATTTTTTTTACTTGCAAAGGTGCCTAAAGATTTTTTTTTTTTTTTTTTTTTTTTTTGAAGACTGATCATATTTCCATGTACCTTTTCAAAGGTAGTTAAGCCTATACTGTTGTGAGTTTTTTTTTTCTGGGGGGGGGGGGGGGGTTTTCCCCCTAGTTTACTTTTTTTTTTGTCTTCCAGCAAGCTCTGTTAAACTAAACAAGCAGCAAACAGACATTGCTGTAAACTGGGCAGGTGGACTTCATCACGCCAAGAAATCTGAAGCATCTGGCTTTTGCTACGTTAATGACATAGTGCTTGCCATTCTGGAACTACTTAAGTATGTATTCATTGTAATGAAACCATAATGGGCGTAGAGCTTTTTTTCTTATGCCTGTGTTTTTGCTCCAGGTATCATCAGAGAGTACTGTACATTGATATTGATATTCATCATGGTGATGGTGTGGAAGAAGCTTTTTACACCACAGACCGAGTCATGACTGTTTCTTTTCATAAATACGGAGAATATTTTCCAGGGACTGGGGACCTGAGGGTAAGTGTTTAAAAATGTAGTGAATGTGGTTGTTGAGTGTAGTTACACAGACTAAAATGTCACTTCCAGGTCCCGGTCTCCCTCTTCTTGCCGAGTATTATTGGAGAAGCTAATGAAGTACGATTTAGTGAAAGAGAAACCATTTTTTTAAAAAGTGTCAAAATCTTAATTACACCTAACCCCCCCACCCACACATACGAACATAAATAAAAAGTGGTGCCTGTGTGCAAAAATGACGATTGAGTTACGCATGTTACATATCACTGCGCACACCAAAGTGAGAGCAGTAGGTCCAGTATTCATGACTAACCCTAAACTGATGTAGGTGCTTTTAAAGCATCGCCTATGGAAGCTGTAGAGTACCAAAGTTTGTTGCCATTTATGGGCACTCTTTAAGCTTTGACATGTTTGGTATCTTTCTTTGACACAAATGAGTAGTTCTGTGTGTGTGTGTGTGTGCCCTAAAATTGACTTTAGTGTATTTTTTACAGAAATTTTGCATTTCATAAACAATTGCACTAATCTTGTGTAAGATAGAAAATGTGAGCTACCACTACTTTCTTCTCTGGGGTGTCTGCTTTTTGAAAATATATTCTTGGGAGTTTTCTCTTCTTCAGACCTAAAATTATTATTTTTTTAACATGGGGGGAAAAAAATGCAGAAACCGCTCTGGCATTGAAAGGGTTAAATATAGCTTGTAGGTGTGTTAATTAGGGTTCAGTATACAGCAACTAATTTTGATCCAACTTTCAGTCCGATTATGTAGTGCAGGATGAACGTGGGCCCTGCAGGTGCTGTAACACACTAAGGGTTTCTCCCTATTCCTTGTTTGTATTTTTTTTTTTTTTTTTTTTTTTTTTTTTTTGTGATTTCAAGTGGAGGTGCTTAACTAAGTGATGATGGGCCAGAGCACTCAGGACTCCCAAGTAGACAGGAACAGAATTTGGAATTATAATTGTGCGGTTTCACTGCCTAGACACATGTAAATGGTAGAAGCTGGCTCATTCTACCAGGCTACAATTATACCCTTTAAAACGATTGCTAACTCTGGGGGGGAAAAAAAAATGAAGTCAGCAGCTACAAAACCTCTAGCTGCCAAATTTTAATACAAGAACACGCACCGTACTTTTGAGCAGCTGGCTATGCTGCTTTCAGCTTCACAGCAGGCTTCCCATTGGGCATGTGTGAGCTGTGCTGCACTTTGTGAATGGTTCCACAGTCTTCTGAGACCTGTACATTAAGGTGGAACATCCCCGTTTTGGTTGAAGTTCTCCTTTTAAGTCTTCAGTTTGCTTTCATTCTGAAAGGAGTGAATGCATTAACTACAAAATGGTATACCACACTCCAAAGACATGCTGGTAGGTTAATTGGTTCCTATTTAAATTAGCCATAGTGAATGTGAGCTAGGGATCTTAGATTGTACACTTTGTTAGGGTTAGGGACTGATGTGAATGTACAATATATATGTAAAGCGCTGTGTAAATTGACAGCACTATAAAATTAACCTATAATAAATTACCTTAACTGTTTTTTTATTGTTGGTAAAATAGGATATCGGGGCTGGAAAAGGTAAATACTATGCAGTAAACTACCCATTGCGAGATGGAATAGATGATGAATCCTATGAAGCCATATTTAAACCAGTAAGTGTACATATTGGTGATCAGAAGATAATTTGTAATAACAGTAGGAGCATGTTTTTTTCCAGCTGACCCATGTCCTCTAATATAATTTTATCTTTTTTTGCATATTAGGTCATGTCTAAGGTTATGGAAATGTACCAGCCTAGTGCTGTTGTCTTGCAGTGTGGTGCAGATTCACTTTCTGGGGACAGACTTGGGTGCTTTAATTTAACGATCAAAGGTGAGTCTCATATTGTGTGTGTGGTTGTTTGTTTTTTTTTTTTTTGTTTTTTTCCTAAATTAGTATTTACTATTTCACTATTTTACTAAATCATTATTTACTATTTCATGTACTGCAAACTTTAAAAAAAAATTTTTTTTAATGTTATTGTTTGTGAGAAATATGTATATGCGAATATACAGTATCTAAACTTGGGTGGAGCAGACAGAAAAACTGTTCCAGAGCAAAAATAACTGTCTTCTGTTAGTCCACCCCTCAGCAGTTTCTCTCTGATCCACATTTCCTGCCAACTCTGATACTGGAGCTTACCCAGGTATCACAATGTTTGAGCCTGGTGACTGGGCACTCAAACCCAAGCACTGTTGCCTAGGGGAGGTCACATGTGTCCCCATGCCCTTAAAGCCTGCTCTGGTGGGAGTGATGTGGAAAGCATTTTGGATAGGTAGTATAAATTGAATATTTGGGGGGGGACACTGTTGGCAGACATTCAAAGCAAAGTGAAAGTGTCTACCTAAGCCTGTGTGTAGTGGCACCGGTGAGGGCACAGATCCACTCTAGTTAGCTGAGTTGTGGGATGACCATGTACTGCAACTCCCTCCTCACTGGCCTACCCAAGTGCAGGCTCTCTCCGCTCCAGACCATCCTGAACTCAGCTGCCGGACTCATCCACCTCACCACCCGCTCCACCTCTGCCACCCCCCCTCTGCCTCTCCCTCCACTGGCTCCCGATTGCCCACGCATCAAATTTAAACTCCTAACCCTGACCTACAAAGCTGTTCACAACACTGCCCCTGACTACCTCACCAACCTGATCACCAAGTACCACCCTACCCGTACCCTTCGCTCCTCACAGGACCTCCTTCTATCCTGCTCCCTGGTCTCCTCCTCCCATGCACGACTGCAGGACTTCTCCAGGTCCTCCCCCATCCTCTGGAACTCACTGCCCCAATCCATCAGACTGTCGCCTTCCCTATTCACATTCAGGCGCTCCCTCAAAACCCATCTCTTCAGGGAAGCCTACCCCACCCTCACCTAACGGCCATCCTCCCTCTTTCCTCCCACCACTTCATCCCCCTCAGCCACTTCCTACTGTACCTTTACCCCCCTCCCTCCTAGATTGTAAGCTCGTAAGAGTAGGGCCCTCTTACCCCTCGTACGTTGTTTGTTGTTGTTGTACTGTGCCATGTATTGTCCCCCCTATTGTACAGCGCTGAGCAAACCCTTTGGCGCTATATAAACTCGTAGTAATAATAATAATAATACTGCATAGCTTTAGCTTAAGTTGATTCCAAGCAGTCTGCAGCTGTAACAATGCAATATTTGTTTCAATGAACATTTTACATTAAATAGTATTGTTTTGTTTTTCCAGGACATGCTAAGTGTGTGGACTTTATGAAGACCTTCAACCTACCACTGCTGATGCTGGGTGGCGGTGGCTACACAATTAGAAATGTTGCCCGCTGTTGGACATATGAGACAGCTGTGGCTCTGGACACAGAGATACCTAATGGTTAGTACATCAGTACAGTTTGCGTCTGTGCATTTCACAGCATGCTATTGTGTTTGTATTCAAAGTATCCCACTTGTTGGCATAGATCCAGTCCGTTCAGTGAATTAAAAAAGGGAGTGGTGTAAGACAAATGCTTGTATGGTCTTAAGCCGGCCATAGATGATTCGAATCCCGGCCAGTTCAGCAGGGACCTGTTGGGATTCAAACCATGTATGGGCAGGCTGATAGGCTGATTGTACCTAAGTCGACTGTTGTACGATTTGGGTACAACCAGCGTGTCAGATTTTTTTATTCAACTATTGTAGGCGGCTAATAATATATTATATAATAATTGTGTTCTCCTGGTGGAGCTGTCCCCACCAGGAGTACACAATAGCTTTGCTGAAGGGATTCCCCCATCAACACTGGGGGAATTGATTGATATTTATTTATATTTTCTTTCCTGCAACCACAGGTTGCAGGAAAGAAAATTGCATCGTATATGGTCTAGTAAAGAGTAACAGTGCTTGCTCTTTACAACCAATTCCTTAATTTGAAATAATATAAGGGAAATATAAAAAATAGAGATCTATAGCTATATCTCTCTATAGCTATATCTCTCTAATAGCTATCTCTCAAAACACGGATTCCTGCAACCACTATTATTCACTCTAACACACCTAACATAAGTAAATACCAACCATGTTGTCTGCTGTCCTTTTTTAAATCTCTCAATACAAAAATAAAAACCCTAAGTGATATGTCTATTTGTAGATACTATATAGGTCCATAATAGTGTGTATAGCCCATTTTCACAAATTTCTGTGCTGTGCAAACAAAATAAGAACATGCTGTCCCTCCTTTGAGTGAAAAACTTGCTGACCTTGTGATTGGACCTACAAATAAATATAGGTCAAGTGCGCTGTGTTACTCAGTGGTATTGTTTCAAACCAACTCTTCCATTCGGACACTCCTTGATGGCTCCAAGGATTTGGAAAATGCACTCAAACAAAAAATATATATTTCGTATTGCAACAGTGTATGATTACTATATTGTGAGTAACCTCAATAAATACACTCACATAAGTGTTGTTAAAACTGTGCTAATTCAACAAAATTTTATCCTCTTATATATATCCTCTCAAACACCTCCAAACGTGCTCCATACCCCATCACAACTAGTTGTAATGCACACTCCCCTTCCCGTTAGAAACCATATAATCATATCCACATCTGTATATTAGCTTCTTCTGCCTCTTAGCAGCTACTTCACTCTTCCTGTCCTGTTTTAAGGGACCAGTATCTTGCTGTATCCACCCAGATAAGTATAGGAGAGTGACCAGTGACGCAACGCATCGGGAGGAGCCTTGTGACATCACTTCTGGGACTGCAGAAACCAGAAGTGGGATTGCAGGAGCCATTTTTGTAAAGGGAATTGGCCTTCTTTTTGTCTTTACTCTCCTATACTTATCTGGGTGGATACAGCAAGATACCGGCCATAGGTATCACATAATTACAATGTAAACAAAACTGTCATGAATGATTTAGATTAGGAAACCAATGTTTGCTTAGTGTTGTGAAGCTGTGATTTGACTACATGTACCTTGTGATTAGCTGTAGCCACATCATGTCAACAGTAACTAAGCTGGGAAGAGATGAGGGGGATCTGACAAAAAAAAACTACAACTTCAGAAAACTCGCCATGCCTCTTACTAAATACCTCAGACAGTTTTCTATGGACGTCAATCACCGGGTCTTAGCCGGCGATTGGGGAAAGCTGCCATGGCAGAGCCTTGTGTGTAAACAACACAGGTCTCTCTCCTGTCAGCATGGACATGCTGTTTTTGTTTCTCTCTGCACAGCACACAGTTAACCCTTTGATCGCCCCAGATGTTAACGCTTCCTGCCCAGTGTCCATTAGCACAGTGTCAGTGCTTTTTATTGGCACTGAACACTATTGGTGTCACTGTGGATGTCAGTGGCAGTCAGTTCCCACTTTTTTTTTTTAGTAAAGACATGTACCCAAATACATTTTGGCTTAAATTTCTGACTAAATTTTTTATTTAATTTTTTTATTGGATATGTTTCTATAGCAAAAAGTCAAAAATATTGTGGCTTTTTTTTTATTTTCAAAATGTTTTTTTTTTTTTTTAATAGTGCAAAACGCAGAGGTGATTAAATACCACTTAAAGAAAGTTCTATTTGTGGGGAAAAAATAACTAAAAAATAATAATTACATAAATTTCATGTACTGTATCTCCAAAAATGGCCTGATCAGGAAAGGGGATAAATCCTCTGGAGGGCAAGTGGTTAAATTTAAAAAAAAAGTTTGTTTATTTTGAATAGGAAAACAACTCTGTTCAGTAAAAGTAGCTTTGGTTAGTTAAGAATGATCTGTGGCCTTTTCTTTTTAGAGCTTCCATACAATGACTACTTTGAATACTTTGGCCCTGACTTCAAACTTCACATCAGCCCTTCTAATATGACAAACCAGAATACAAATGAGTACCTGGAAAAGATCAAGTGAGTTGTTAATTGACAGAATATTTTATTTCTATTAAGACTGACAGAGAAGTAGCCTGCTTTGACTGCATGACTTTGTTTCAGGCAGCGACTGTTTGAGAATCTACGGATGCTTCCCCATGCGCCTGGTGTACAGATGCAGGCAATCCCTGAGGATGCTGTTCAGGATGATAGTGGTGATGAAGATGATGATGATCCTGACAAACGTATTTCTAGTAAGTTTCCTTCGAGTTACCCCTTTTTCCAGTCAACTTGCTGAGCATTTTACGCGAGTTCCTAGCTATAATGTAGGTATAGTGATTGTTTTTTGTATGTGCTTTCTCTTGAAAGATTAATGCAGTATATAGACATTAGATAGTGTTATTGGATATGTGTATAAGAGCTTGATTGGTTGAACTTTTATACAAATGAGCAATCCTCTAATGTTCTGGACTGAACAAGCTCATAGATCAAAAAGATAGTGCAAAGGGATCTTCTGTAAAGTCATAACAGAAATCTTTCATTTTATAGACTAGGCACTCATACATCTCTACCTAGAGAATTTTTTTTTTGGAAATCAAAGTGAAAGATACAGGATTCCCAAGTATTTCAACTTCTACCCTTTCACCCCACGAATACGGAGCAGTATCTGTCAGTACACATTTGTGATTTATCTCCAGAGATCAGTCTGATGAAAAAGTCAGTAGGTTTGCTTGACTGCCATTTAGCCTTTTGACCATGTGGTGATAGCACACACATGCCACTGAATTATTTGCTTATACTTTGCTGAACCCCTGACGGAGCTGTTGGGTAATGCCTTTGTTTTAATAACACTAATAAAAGTTAGGTTGTAACCCTGTGGCTTCTTTGGTGCATGGGTATAGGCACTCTTGGTGTTTTTTAATTTATCTCCAGAGACCAGTCTGGTGAAAAGGTCAGTAGGTCCAAAGATGAACACTATGTTTATGCAAGTAAAGGCCTCAAAATTGCATTTTTCCAGACTGATATCTAATCATTATGGGTAGTTTTTTTGGTATGCTTTAAGGAACATTTCACGTTGTTTTTATTCTGTCTACCTGATTTTTAAACTGGTGTTCTTTGCTTCTGATCATCTGTTCCATTGTTGTACTGACCAGGTTGGCCTATCAAGACGTTGCAGAGAATGTAGTAAATTGCCGTGTGGTGTGACTAGTTAGCTAAGCTGATTTGCTGTTTTAAAATAGGTCAGGAAAACAAAAGTACACTAAAATATAGTCAGCTTATTTCATAAAAGATGAAAACTTAAAAACTTTTTAGTTTTAAGAAGTGCTTAAAACTGGAGAAAAAAAATTCCCTATACTCTTGTCTGCAAAGCAGCAGACCCTGGAACATACCTCAGATTCTCTCCTTCATGCCCATAGCTTATGCAGTTGCTAAGCACTGCATATTGTAATCAAGATGTGGATTTTACATTCTACTGTGCATGCATCCTGTCCCTGACTTGGAGTATAGTGTAATAGCCAGTTCTCCTGCAGACCTACATAGAGATGGGTTGTCCATTATACATGGGGGGATATTGTGCATGCATGTGCAGTACAGTAGTAAGGCTGGCTGTTACTCTTGACAAATGCTTTCTGGTAGGTGCACTATAGGTGGTGGAGAGAGGAATAGGTTTATCTGGGGTGTGGGGGATATGGGACAGTTTATCTAAAGAGGAGGAAGGGAGGAATGTCATTCATTCATTCAGAGAGTTCTATAGTTCATTGAACTTCCTGTAGTTCAGTAACTGTTTGCCTGTACATGAGGTGCAGGCCGATAGCTGAGAGTCTGCAGGATCCTGGCATTGTGCCCACAATCTGCTGATCTGCTCTGCAGGCTCCTTACTAAAAAAAAAAAATACACATTTTGTTACTTGCAAAAAAATGTGCTTTTATTTTTTTTTTATCCTTTAAAGAGAACCCTTCAAATTTGGGCTCATGGAAGAATCTGAATATGTCCGACCTTGTCAACCTCCTACTTTTTAAGGGTTATGAATATATTGTGTGGGTAAGTCCACAGAAATTTTTTTTAACCCCTTCATGCCACAGCCTCCTGGGCCTTTGGATCTAAGTGCTGGGAGGTGGAGGCGGATATTCTGATCATGTGACCGCTGTGATTGGCTGTTACATGACCGGAAAGCTCCTGATCACAAGTAAGTATCGTTTGCTTTCTGTGACGCTTCAATCACTGTGCTGGGAACACGCAGGGCACGTACTAAACTACTTGGAAATGAGTAAGAAGACCAGTCACTTGTTGCAAAAGATAGTGATTGCAGTGACTGTTTTCCAGAACAGGAAACAGAGCAAAATCAGTGGTTCTGAGGACTTAAAAGTGGCAATATAATCAGCAGGGATACATTTTATAGGAAACCGTACACATCAATCTGTAATTCCAAATGACCTTTTCAAAACTTTTTTCTAGTTGCTGTTTTTGGCTTTTGGCATTTTTCTTCTACAGCCAGTAAACTCCCCAGCATGTTATCCTATGTGTCCATGCACAAATAGACTGTAATCCGCTTTTTTTTTGGCTGGAGAAAACCTGAAGTAGTAGGTTTCTAGAGGAGTTATTTAGCTGTAAAAACGCTCTACCGCTGGAAAACAGGGGAAACGGGCGTTTGTGGACACTTTTTTTTTTTTTTTTTTTTTTTTTCTTCTTTTTTGCACTCTCCATCTTTAGGAAATAACCCCCAAAGTATTCGCCAACCATTTTGTTATATTGCCAATAGGAGGATTGGACACTGGCAAAAAAAAAAGCAGCTCAGAATAACCCCTTTTACACCAGCATGCTCCAGTCCATCCAATCTGACAGAACTTTGACATTTTTGCTCACTTTTTGCAAAATAGCTCCTCTCTAGATGTGCAAAGATGGCAGAGACATCCCCAAAAAGACTTGCAGCTGTAATTGCAGTGAAAGGTGGTTCTACAAAGTATTGACTCGGGGGCTGAATACAAATGCACGCCACACTTTTCAGATCTTTATTTGTAAAAATTTTTTAAAACCATTTATCATTTTCCTTGAACTTCGCAATTATGTACCACTTTGTGTTGGTCTATCACATAAATCCCAATAAAATTTACATTGTTTGGGGGTATGAATACTTTTTCAAGGCACTGTATGCTTCTTCAACAGGCTTTAAACTGGTCCTTCACGTGCTCCCTTTTTTTTTTTTTTTTTTTTTTTGTGTGTGTGCAACCAGAGAGCTGATCATAAAGAAATAAAAGGATTCCCCCTTTTCCACATAATCAAAGTGGATGGTGGAATTCTCACCAATTGGCTGCAGGGCCAATAAAATTTTTTCCGGCAAGTCTGTTTTGAGAGCAGGCATTCCTTAGATTGACTGCTCTCGAATGGGAACAGCCATAGATGGATCGAAAATGTGGCTGGTCTGCTGGGACCGTCCAAATTTTAATCAGTCTGTGACCAGCTTAAGCCAGTTGAGTGGGGCTTAGCCCAGATGTCGGCTAAAGCCTGTATTAAAATGTAATTAAATAAAAGTACACCGAGGATTATCTGGCTTATAAAGATAATGACTGGTATCTTGCTATGCCCTCCCTTGGATAGGACTGCTACTTTTAGGTGTTTAAATTTAAACTTTCAGCATTTTAAATTATTGCTAAACCCACAATAGTAAAATCAGTCTGTATGTGCAGTAAAGCATGCTTGTTATACTCACTGTGGAACCTAAGGGGTTAATCCTCCACATTGTGTAAAAAGGCTGTTTTTGAGCCTGACTTCTCTGATCCTCCCCTTTTTCCAGTGTCCCCCTCTCATCTCCTGATGAGACATATATCGTATGGAGACACCTGCACATGCTTAGTTTGGTGTGTATTGCTAGAAAGGTTTTCTTTTTCTTTTTTTGGGAGAGTGCATGTGATCAGCACTGTCCAGATAATGTCAGGGGTTCTGCATCCTCCTAGAACTGAACGAAAACTCCTCATACAAGCTTTAACCAGTGCTCTACTGGACACTGATAAAGTCACAAGACTGCTCTAACTGCTGATGAAAAAAGGTATTTAGCAGTTTTATATATACTAAAATAATTGCTTTTCCATGTTCTGTGTACTGTGGGAGACCAGATATAGTAAATACAGGGTCCTGGGTTTATTAACACTTTAAGGCTTTCTGTACTCTTGACAATATTTCTATTCCCCATTCTTACAGTTCGATCTTCAGATAAGAGAATTGCATGTGATGAGGAATTCTCAGATTCAGAGGATGAGGGTGAGGGCGGACGTAGGAATGTTACCAATTTCAAAAAAGCAAAGCGTGCCAAAACGGAAGATGAAAAAGATGGCGAAGATAAAAAAGGTAAGCACCGTCGCCAGGTTCCTTTTTTTTTTCCTCTTATACAGACTGATTTTATTTATCACTCACTAGTAGAGGAAAATCCAAAAGCAAATTCAAATATCAGAGGGCTGCTTGTACTTTTCATATCTCCTGGATTTCTGTGGTCAAGATATTTTAGTGAATTGATAATGCTGAAAAGGAAATGAAGAGACGTGTAAAGGGTTCATTTATGAAAACCAGTTCAATCCGTGTATATAGACTGTATTGAGAAGCAAAACATTGGCGTGGTTGATGCACCATGAAAACTGTTATTTCCAGTGCCACACATTCTGCAAGAGCCAGTGTAGTAAATAGGTTTGGCTTCAGTGTATTTGAAATAGTGTATCGTATAATGGTTCCTTACATGAGAGCCTAATGTACAGACATTTTACATGGGCATATTTACACCACAGTTCCCATGTTCTGTGTTTTTATTAGTATACCTTTTTTTAGGTGTGATTTTTTTTTTTTTTTTTTTTTTTTTCTGTTAAACTGAGTAGCATATGCAGTGCATTTACCTGCGCCCTCATGCATTTTTATGTGTTTCGGTGTGGAAAAGTGCAGCTTTTATTTTTTTTTTTCTTTCACTCAAATGGAAGCACTGCAATGATGTAAACTAGACTAATTGAAATTAATTTCATGCATATGCTTTTGTACTGCATTTAAAAATTCATGTTTCTGTCATTTAAAAAAAAAATCCATACTTAATGTGCCTGGAGTTCTCTAAGGCTAGGTTCACACCTATGCAGTTTGCGTTTGATTCATTTCTGCAGTGCTTTTTTGTGGTGCGTTTTGCGGGGGAGAGTTTCAATTTGTTGCTGGGCAGAATAAAACTCATCAAAACGCACTAATGCTTTTATGTAGCGTCTTCATTGAAGTCTATAGAACCAGAAAATGCACCGGGTGAAAACGCGGAAATGTGAACCTGTCCCATAGGAAATCATGTTAAATTGCTGTGCGTTTCTGCAAAACAGCGAAAAATGCATAGGTGTGAATCTAGACTAAGGGGAGGTCAGCTTCACTTCTTATCCATGCCTCTGTTTCTGGACAGTCTGACCTTGGTAGGACAGTAGTGTAGTGTACAAAATGTGTAAATTTTCTTAATTCCTTTCTGTGTTTTCATGAACAGGACATCAGGAGAATCTCCCTACACAGCCCCAGGCAACAATAAAAGCACTTTTATTAGTTGCTTGAGCAAGGGTTAAGAACCTTCTTCCACAACCTGGATTGGTTGGTTTATATGCAGAGCTGCACCAGGTTTTGCACTCTCCAGTTTTACTAAATCAGCCCTATTGTACTCAGTAGAGATTTTCTTTTTCCTGTGCATTGAGGGGAAATTTCCACTACAGGAACATGCATAGCAATGAAAACTTCACAGAATTTTTAACTATAAATAAACCCGTTGATTTGGGCGAATAGTCAACCATTGCATAGATACAAACTTCCAATCTGCAAGAAATCATATAAACTTTAATTAGCTGGATCCTTTATCTGTGATTTTATCTATGATTACATGTCAGATGGATCTGCATGGAGAGGTTTAAGAGGGCAAAGAAAAAAAAAATGTTGAATTTTACATGGCTCACTTAACCACTTGGCAACCGCACCGTAGCCGAATGACAGCTACAGCGCAGTTGTCCAGTTCTGGGAGGGCTTCATATGACGTTCTCCCAGAACGTGCCCTCCCACGCACCCCCGGCGATCTCCATGATTGCTATGTCCTACAGACACAGCTGATCACGTGATGTGGTAAAAGGCCAATCACAGCGGCCTTTTACCCACGTGATCAGCTCTATCCGATGACACAGCAAATCACTGAGTAAATGCAGTTGCCGGGTTATCGGCTGCACTTTCCTCACGCTGCCACAGCGTGAGAAAAGTACTGCTGATAACCGGCAATTGTCAGAAAACAGATCGGCACTGATGATCAGTGCCCAGCAGTGCCACGCTCCAATGCCATCCACCTGTGCCCGGCAGTGCCGCCAGTCAGTGCTCACCCATCAGTGCTCATCGTTGCTGCCTATCTGTGCCACCTCATCAGTGCTGCCCATCAGTGAAGGAAAAAATTATTTGGCAAAAAATTAAAAAAAAAAAAGTTTTTCTTTGTTTCTATTATAACATTTTGCACTATTTTTTGTTTATAGCGCAAAAAATAAAATACCCATTGGCGATTAAATACCACCAAAAGAAATCTCTATTTGTGTGAAAAATATTTCATATGGGTACAGTGTTGCAATTGTCATTCAAAGTGCGACAGTGCTGAAAGCTGAAAATTTAACTAAGCAGGAAGGGGGTATAAGTGCCCAGTTGGCAAGTGGTTAAAGGAGAAGTGTAAGATGTAAAAAAGAAAAAAATGCGTGCACACAGTCACCTACAGTTGCAAGAAAAAGTATGTGAACCCCTTGGGATTACGTGGAGTTTTGCATGAATTGGGCATAAAATGTGCTCTGAACGTCATCTAAGTCACAACAATAGAAGAACACAGTCTGCTGAACATAATACTACACAAAATTAGATGTTGCCATGGTTTAATTGCACCTAACATGTAAACATTCACAGTGCAGGGAGGAAAAAGTATGTGAACCTTTGGACTTAATAACTGGTTGACCCTCCTTTGGCAGCAATAACCTCAACCAAACGTTTCCTGTAGTTGCAGATCAGACCTGCACAACAATCTGGAGTAATTTTGGACCACTCCTCTTCACAAAACTGTTTCAGTGTAGCAATATTCTTGGGATGTCTGGTGTGAATTGCTCTCTTAAGGTCATGCCACAGCATTTCAATGGGGTTGAGGTTAGGACTCTGACTGGGCTACTCCAGAAGGCGTATTCTGTGCTTTTGCAGCCATTGTTTTGTTGAATTACTTGTATGCTTTGGGTCATTGTCCTGTTGCATCACCCATCCTCTGTGGAGCTTCAGTTGGTGGACAGATGGTCGTACGTTTTCCTGCAAAATGTCTTGATAAACTCTGGAATTCATTTTCCCATCAATGACAACAATCCGTCCAGGCCTTGAGGCAGCAGAGCAGCCCCAAACCATGATGCTCCCTCCGCCATGTTTTACAGTGGGGATGAGGTTTGGATGTTGGTGTGCTGTGCCTTTTTTTTCTCTACACATAGTGTTGTGTGTTCTTCCCAAACAACTCAATCTTGGTTTCATCTGTCCACCGTATATTTTGCCAGTAGTGCTGTGGAACATCCAGGTGCTCTTTTGTAAACTTCAAACGTGCTGCAATATTCTTTTTGGACAGCAATGGCTTCCTCCGTGGTGTCCTCCCATGTACTCCATTCTTGTGTAATGTTTTCCTTATTGTAGATGTGTCAACAAAAATGTTAGCATGTGCCAGAGATTTCTGTAGGTCTTTAGCTGACACTCTGGGATTCTTCTTTACCTCATGCAGCATTCTGCGCTGTGCTCTTGCAGTCATTTTTACAGGACGACCATGTCTAGGGAGAGGAGCAACCGTGCTAAACTTTCTCCATTTGTAGACAGTCTGTCTTACCGTGGACACATGAACATCAACGCTTTTGGAGATACTTTTGTAACCCTTTCCAGCTTCATGCAAGTCAACAATTCCTGATTGTAGGTCTTCTGAGAGCTCTTTTCTGCGAGGCATGGTTCACCTCAGACAGTGCTTCTTGAAACCTGTAAACCCAAAACAGGTGTGTGTTTTTAAGGGCAGGACAGCTGTCAGCAACACATCCAATATCATCACACTGATTGGAGTCAAGGTTGGCTCACTCCTGGCTCCAATTAGCTCTGGGAGAAGTCATTAAGCTAGGGCCTCACATACTTTTTCCTCCCTGAACTGTGAATGTTTACATGTTATGTGCAATTAAACCATGGCAACATCTAATTTTGTGTAGTATTATGTTCAGCAGACTGTGTTCTTCTATTGTTGTGACTTAGATGGCGTTCAGAGCGCATTTTATGCCCAGTTCATGCAAAACTCCATGTAATCCCAATGGGTTCACATACATTTTCTTGCAACTGTATATTGTTGCATGTTACGGGAATTAATACTCCAAATTTTATAGATGGGGAACATACACAAATAGATAAACTCAGCATCGTTCCAAATAACCGTTCTGTTTATATGGCCCATTTCTCGTTTTTTAAAAACATGATTACGTAGATATCACGTTAATATTACAATTGTATCTTTATGGTTACAAGGGGTGTTACATACGCAGGCTAATTTCTACTTCAGATCCGAAACAATGCAAGCATGTAAGGAAACATAATGAGTGCAGTGCGCAATACAGAGGCACAGCATACAAAATAGAATACAATTTTATACAGAATTTACAAATTTCTTTTACACTGCAACATTGGTCTGATGCTGCAGCTGTCATCTTCTGGCCGTAAGACTGCGAACCCAAGCAATCACATGACTGCTAAGTTCTAAGTTCTTGGACTTCATTGATCAGAGAGCAGTGACTGTCAGTCACCAGCTCTCTGCTTTGCCCCTCCATAGCTCACTGGAGTGCCAGGCTTTGGAGGGAGTGGTGGCATCTCGCTCAGGTTCTCAGCGGCACACAGAGGCTAAGCCAGCTGCCGGTCAGGCATGTGGGTGGATCTTGACATTGTCGGGATGCATCCATAGACTGGAGCAGCTCTGTGGCATCAGGCGACAGTGGGCTTTACCCCACTGGTGGCTGAATCTGGGTCACAAGAGTGCAGAAATTGGTGCACTCCTGTGACCCAGAAAAGAAGTATGGCCAAAAAAGCTTTGGTCATACTTCTCTTTTAAATATGTCCTTGCATGTCTGTCCATGCATGCAGAGTACCATATCCATCAAGGAACCAGACCAGTGGTGATTCTTTTGATTCATCAAATTTGTAAAATTCTGCTGTGGAGTATATTTAGGTGAATCGAAAATATTTTTGAGCAGCTCATCCCTGACCCTCAAGTATATATATCTCTTCATGCAATTAAATTTCCCTTTTGAGTAAGTGCTGAGATGATGTAAGTTTAAAAGCA